ATGAGAAATTATATTTATAACTCAGAAACTACAAACTTTCATTTTAAGGGTATGATATATTTTAGAAAAATTAAGTTGCTTATTTCTTCTGACCATAACTTAGCTCAATTTTTAATTATAAATATTCATATCAAGAAGAAATTGGGCAGGTGTTTTGTTCACTTCAGTATATTGGTGACCCAATTGAAAATTATAGATACATCCTGAAGTCAATGGAAATGTTGGCCCACTTGACTCATTTAAATTCAACAATTACCTTTTATGAAAAGTAAGATACATAATTATTTTTTTTTAAATTTACACTTTTATAACTCACGATAAAAAAGTAAGGCTTGGACCTGACTGGTGTTGCTCAGTGGTTAGAGCGTCCACCCATGCACCAAAGGGTTGCAGGTTTGATTTCCAGTCAAGAGCATGTACCTGGGTTGCAAGTTTGCCCCTGCATGCAGCAGGCAATCAATCGATGTGTCTCTCTCATATCGACGTTTCTCTCTCTTTCTCTTCTTCCCTCCTTCTACTCTTTCTAAAAATCAGTGGAAAAAATATCCTCGGGCGAGGATTAACAAAAAAAAGTAAGGCCTGAAATACAACTACGCACATTCAACTTAGCATAGCTGTGTCATAAATATGAATTTTTAGGTAGCTTGGCCTCTGGTTAACATGAGACAACAGTGCCACCTTTAGTTACATTTCTAGACCTACATTATAATAGAAATTGCTCACTGAGACAGCTCTCACTTAAGGAAATAGGAATTAGAGGATCTTGAGCTGGTAGTACTGTATCTAGTGGTATTATCTGCTTTTATGTTATTAGTGGTTTTGCAAAAACACATATAAACTTTGTCGCCATTCTCTATTCAAAGTCTTTGAAGAAACGTAATTTTTATATGTCTATTCCTGTTTCTATTTATCAGATGTAATTGTAGTTGGTAAATATATACTTTATCTAAATTAGTATACTAGTTCAGAAATTATATTAATGTTCAAATACCAACCAGTTCTTAGTTCCTGGACATGGAAATTTAAGCATTGAATTATAATAATACAATCAAAATTATATTTCTGTAATAAGTTTTATTATTCACTGGAGAATTCCGTCTACTGTATTCTGGATTTGTGTAAGATAATGTAGGGGGATAGCAGAAGGCATAATGCTAAAGACCTTTTCAAGCTCATTTTATTAATAAATGCTCCCTGAGCATGCCCTCTGCAAGAGGTATATTTGTTTATTCCAAGGGTCATTTCCTTTACAGCTCTTCTAATTACGTGAATATACAGGTCACATGCTTCATAATTTTTAATTCTTACTGATACATACTCCCAACACATGCGGATTCCCTATAAAGCTTTACATACAGAAGTTAAACTATCTGATAGTGATTGCATGCTATGAGTTCAGGTGAAACTAGGAATTTAAAATGCAGTAAATAATGATATTCTGGCCTTTGGCAAACTGTAATTTATGGGAGAAAAGATCACCACACTGCATGCCACTAAAATATGGAAATTATTTTAGTCTATATATTAACAATGTAAGAAAAGAGGGTGGTATACAACTGGTATGTTCCAAGCACTCTAGGAGGTGCTCACCTATGCAAACTTGAATATTAAAATATGGTCTTTGAATGGGATCTAGGACACCTACGTGTATGCCTCAGACACTAAGACCTATGGGTGGCAAGAAGAAAGCTCCAGGAATACCTAATGGGGCAGCTTGAGATTCCGTTTTATCTGCCATTTTTTAGCATCTTAAAAACCCAGGGTATATCATGTATGACCCTATTTTAAATGCTCTAAATTGATTATGTTAACCCCTGTGGGCATGGTGTTAGTTTTTCCTTCAAGCAGAGGAAACAAACTCTAAGAATGACATAAACCTGCCAAAGTTAACCTATGCATTGGCTGATCAAGGGTTCAACCTCCAAGTCATTTGACTATTTGCCTGCATCTGGGCATGTGGGCAGAAAAGCAAGTTGCCCCTTGCAAAAGCATGGTGCTTACAGTCAGTCCCTTCGCAGTCAGGCAGGAAGATTTGCCCCCAGTTGAAAGTTCCTAATAACTGGCACCAAGTAAATGATAAAATCCGGGCTATTTACAATTACTATTTTACTTTGCTCATGGGTGACTTACAAGACTTTTTGAAAGGAATGAACATGTCCTTTAAACTTGTATCTGAATGCTGATTCAACTCTTATGAATTGGGAGAATTACATAACCTCTCTGAAGTTGCTCTACTGGATGCTTTCAGAAATAAAAGAGAAAGAAACATAGTAGGGATTCAACAAAAATTATTTGCCCCCCTGCCACTTAGATATTTAGGTGTTAGAAAGAATCAATAAAACATAAGGCAAAAAAACCCTCATGTTAGGAAAAGGTAATTATAACTTCTAAATGGAAACCAGTGGTTTTCTAAATGTGGTCCTTGGACCAGCAGCCTCAGCACCACCTGGAAACTTGTTAGAATACAAATTTTGGGGCTCCATCTCAGACCTACCAAATCACAAATGTTAGGGTGGTGCTCAGAAATCTGTTTTTTTTTTATCCTCACCCGAGGACATTTTTCCATTTTTTGTTCAGGTAGAGTGGGAGGGAGAGAGAGGAACAGAGAGAGAGAGAGAAACATCGATGTGAAAGGACACATTGAGTGGCTGCCACCCACACAACCGACCAGGGCCGGGGACAAACTGCAACCGAGGTACATGCCCTTAGCGGGAACCGAACCCGGGTCTCTCAGGACCGCAGGCCGACGCTCTAACCGCTGAGCCAAACCGGCCAGGGCAGAAATCGTTTTTTTAACAAGCCTTCCTATAATTTTGATGCAGACTGACAGTTGAGAACAGAACGAGTCTTGTGAAGGGGCCTTCAGCCTCACTGGATTCCGAATCATCAGTATTCTTCCCTTTAGCCCATCCTTTTGCAATACTTGTTTCTAACAAGAGAGAGAATCGTACCCATTTCTTAAAGCAGTGTTTCTCAAAGTCTGGTCCACAGGCCACTTGAATCAGAAACACTTGAGGTAGTTTATAAAAGTTGCATATTCCTGGGCCCATATCAGACTAGAGGAGTTGGAATCTCGGGGGTTAGGGCTTCAATATTTACATTTTATAGCTTCCTAGGTGATTCTTTTGTTCACTGAAATTGTGATCACTGCAAGCTTAGCATTACGGGTAACTCAGTTATCTGGCAGCACAAGGTGAAAAGAATGAGTTCTTCTACCCCCGTTTTTATGAGATTCTTTTATCTGGCACTGGCCACAAGCGGAACTCTACGATATAGTTAACTCCCGACTTTGCTAGCACTGAAATTTCTGGGACCTGAATTTTACTTGGGCAAGAAGCTGAGGTGGTGGCTGTGGCCACTGAGACCAGAGGAAACCCAGCTATTCCATGTTGGGCTGAGGATGACACAGCTGGTGCCACACCATCTTTAGGTAACATGGACAATACGAGGAGACTGAAACACACAGGCTCCCATTTATGCCCGCACAGTGTTTCTTCAATCTCAAAGTTTGGGGTTGACAAAGGATGCCAAAATGCAAAGGAAAAAATGTGTCCTCTGAAACCTGTTATCTAATAAAACGCGATTTTACCTTGTGTCTTTCTATAAAAATCTTTGTACTTCCTCTCTTGATTTATCTTCAATGGCTTATCATCTCTACCTCTATGCCTCGTCCTCCTCTTATTATAATAACCTTATTTTATTTTGGTGGTTTGTTTGTTTATTTATTTATTTATTTTTGTTCTACTCATCACACTCAAGCTGAGCTGCTTAGCACGGCATCTCGCCTACCTCCACAGAGCTTTGTGTAATTGCATGCTTTTGCAACAAGGTCTCTCCAGGCAACTGTGAGAGACCTGGTCTATGTGAATTCTCCATTCAGTTAGGACTCTGCCCCAGACAGAAACGATGCAGGGATAACTCAGATGGTTCAAATGAGAACACAAATCCAGGAGAACAATGGAAATGGCAGCATAAGGACTCCAAAAACCAACTCCACCATGAAAACAAACAAACAAACAAAATTGGCAGAAATCATCAGAATTGACTTTTTCAGAGCTCTGGAAATTCACAAAAACTTTATTTAAAACAAAGAAATAAACAGCCAAATCTCTTTAAGAACAGTGAGTTTTATGACATTTTAATGTGCCCCAGTTCCATCCCTTAGTCTCCACTCAGCAGTAGCCTTGAAAACAAACAGCCTGTATTCCTGATGCGGGTTGGCAGCCACCAGAAAGAGTAGAATGGAACCGTCTCTTTCAAAGTCTCATTCCCAGAAAAGCAAAAACAGGAAAATTGTCACTAATAATCCTGTCTTATGAGAAATACTAAAGTCCTTCATGCTGAAATAAAAGAACACTAGGCAGTAACTTGTATCCACATGAAAAAATAAAATGCACCATAAGAAAATTTAAAAATATTTAGAGATGAATAAAAAATACCAAAATTTATGAAATGCAGCAATACCAATGCTGAGGGAAGTTTGTAGCTATAAATGCCTACATTTGAAAAGAACAATGATCTCAACTCAGTAACTTAAGCTTCCTTAAATAATTAGAAAACTAGACAAAATAAAACAAACTAAGCCCAAAGTAAGCAGAAGAAAGGTAATAATAAATATTAAAGCAGAGATGAATCAATTGAATATTGTTCTGGAGATACTAGTCAAGACAATAAGGCAAGAAAATGAACTGAAAATATCCACATTAGAAACTAATTACATAGTAAAGATGTTTACATAGCCTTATGAATATTCTAGGACCCACTGATTTATACACTTCAATGGTGAGTTTATAGTATGTGAATTATTTCTCAATTGTATAAAAGAGAGTCACAGATTTTTATAAAAGATCAATTTGTTTGTTTGCTTGTTTAAAAAAAGACAAAAGAAATGCAAATGCCTTAGACTAACCACTTTTTCTTGAGTTGCTTCCCTTGTTTCTACATGACATGATTTTATTGTTATATTATGACTCGCTGGTTTCCATTTTATGTCTCTCTAGCTCATGGTGAAAAACATGAGGAATTTATTTCCTTGGGAAGCCCGGATTCCCACGCTATTAGTGAGGGGCAAAAATCTTCAGGAACATCCAAAACAGTACGGAAAGGCAAAGAAAAGTCTTCTGAGAAAGAAAAGGCAGCCAGAGAAAAGCAAGCACCTCGCTTTGAGTCTCAGGTGGGTGTGGTGTTTTTTCTTACTGGAATCACTTCATAAATGTAGGTTCCTTGGGTCCCTGCGTGCCCATCTCTCCTGGGGACAAATTCGTGACAAAATTCACCTCGTCTCCAGTGGCCCTCTAGACAGCTTATAGGTAGATATTCCTTGGACACCTTTTGCAAGCAGCCTTCCCTAATTTAGTATCAAAAGGCATTCAATTAGCTTTTAATATGTAAGACACTGTTTGGAAGACTTCGGTTTCTGATATTAATATTATACAGGTCCTATTCTCAAAAAAAAAAAAAAAGTGCTGTCTAATGGAGGACACTGAAGGTAAAGAGTTTCAGTTAGAGATCGAATGTGCAGTGGTAGGAAGGATAGGTACCTATTCTAGCTTCTTCCTAGAGAAGCAGGGTCCTGAACCGCGTCAGTGAGTAAGGACACGCTGAGGCAAAGTCTAACACAATGTTTTTTTTTATTGTTAAGGTATGAGATATGAGGCTGGAGGACTAAGTAGATATCAGATGGAGGAGAGCCTTTAAGCCCCATTAGAAGCTGGAACTCTATCTATAACCCAGGGATCCTGAATCCCAATTCCTTCTGCGCCAGTTAGATCATTATAATGATGAGGGGTAAGAAGATGTGGGAGGCAAATTTGAGGAGTGCAAGCAGAGGCTTCAAGCTGTTCAAATTCAAACTATTTAAAAACGCTGACCTCTGTACAAAATACCTATGAGGAAGATTTCTTTCCATCATTTGTGATCATTGCTTAAGCTAAGCAGGGCTGGGAGGCCGGGGGTTTAAAAAGTGTATTGCCGTGGTCAGACTTACGTTGCATATCCCTGATGAGTTGTAAGGGTATGAATTTAAAGCAGAAAAGAATAGAGATGGGGAAGCCATTCAGGAGGTACTGCAGTAGTCCAGGTGAAAGAGTGCAAGGTGAACCAGGTGCAGATCAAAAGAAAGGAAGACAAGGACAAATATGGAGGCATCTAGGAAACAAACAAGATCCAAAGTGGATGAGAAGAAGCAAGAACAAATTAAGGCCATCTCCCCGGTTACCAGCTGGATTAACCCTGAGGCTGCCACTCCTCTGTGCTGGAAGCCCAGCTGATGCTGCCCCGCCCCCCGCCCACCCCGTCCACGTCAAGGCCAGGAAGAGGCAAGGCACTGATGCTGACATGTGGCAGCCGACATCCCACAGTGCCAAAGTCTTCTGGGGAAGCAGAGAAGCGAGTTTTTCTTGTGCTCACCTACACATTATTGGATGTAAGTCAGTCTACGAAAGGATGTCATACAAGCAAAACAAGATGTAAAAGGATGGAAAGTGAAGCCCACACTGGAAGAGGCACAGAAACTCTCCACGCAACGATGACACACACACTGGGATTTTGAAATTTAGTGCTTCTGCTTTCCCGGGATTTACAGAAGTGAGCATTCACCTCCTGTTTAAAAGTACTGTGACCTTTGTTTCAAAGGCTGTTTGTGGCAATCAGAGTGAAGTGACTACGTTTAGCTCAACTTAAGCCTAGTTCTCAAATATATATATTTTTAAATGGTATCAGATCATGGCTAGTTGAAACAGAGAGTTGTTAAACAAACCATCATATCTCTGAAACAATTAGTGTTAAATCAGAAGAAACAGGTTTTCCAGGAAAGAGAAGTCACACTATCGGTAAAGATGAAGCTATAGTAAACACACCCCTTTTTGTCACACAAACAGTTGGACTGCAAAATGGGGACAATCATTCTGCTCTTTACCAAATCATATTAATTCACACTTCAAATGTGGGGGGGGGAATGTCTCACGGAAAAGAACATTTCCAGAACCAATGAGAGATTGGCGGTAGAAACCGTGGAGCAGGGAAGTGCTCTTCCGCTGAGCTGAGCATCCCGACTGATGGGCAGCACACCTGTGGGCCTTCCCTGTGCCCGGAAGACAAGCCGCAGGGCCAGGGAGTCATCCCAGGCTCTTGCAGTTTCCATTAAACAAGGGGCACTGCGAACTTGCTCCTCCCACCAAAGGCACACAAGCGTCCGTGGGGGGTGAAGTTGGTGGACCTGACTCCACACTGAAGTATGACTCGGTCAGAAGAGTCTGGCAGAACAGCAAGTGGCCGTGAAGGCTGAGTCACCGTAAGCAAAGAGACACACAGAGGGGAAGAAGCTTTTTTCTCTTCAACCAGGAAAGATTTCCAGGGTGAGTACTGAGGATAGAACTTGGGCACTAGTTCAAGTATCAAGAACAAATGACCCAAAGCTCTGCATCAGTAGGGTTGAAAAACTGACTTTCCATCTTCTAGAATTTTCTGAGGGAAAAGGAGGGGCTGCCAAGCAAAGAATTATTCCATACTTACTATAATTGAGACAAATTAAGGATGGCACTCTTCAGACACAGTTAGAGACTGTTGGCCTTAATTGGCTGCATGAGTCTGGTGAAAGGGAGAGCAATTAATGGTGTAGGAACAAGGTGTGTGGTCGCTCTTCAGACTCAGCCAAAAGGAGTGGGACTCACTCAGAAGCCTGTTCATCGCTCTTTCATTGCATTTGTGGTACCAGCACAGGGCCCATACGAGCTCCCTGTTGGGACTGTTTCCTGTGCTCTTGGATAAATGTGAGGAATTCTATAGAAAAGTAGGATCAGATGAGTTTTCACAAAATGTCACAGTCGGAACAGTCAAAACGAGCTGGAGTCAGGCATTGTATGACAGTCAAACACAGTAATGATCAAAAGAGCAAGAAATCCCCCACATCTTCAAGTAGCTGCAGTAAGTACCATGAAAAACAGAGGGAATGCCACAGCTTTTGTGCTCAGGAACTATGATTGTTTTCCTGGCACTAACTCTTACCATGTGGGAGACTGTTGTTATAAGATGCAGCAGGCCATTAGCGTCTCATCTGCTGCTCCAGGCTACTTTGCAGAGTAGCCTGTTTGGGAAATGATCTTCCTCAAGATTAGCAGTGAATGACTTAAATGTCTTTGGCCAGGTATCCCATTACAGTGCATAGTATACCTGGGCATTGGACATTATAAGAATGAATTAAGAAACACCATGACATACACATGCCTGAAATCAAACTGTCTAATGTTATCAACAGTGCTACAGATACGGAAAGAGTCTCCTAACAACTATTTTAGATACATTCCTATAATATTGAAAACATACCTGTAGATGAAAGTCAAAATGAAAAGCTGGATCAGCTGCAGTTGAAAAGTTGAAGTGTATAGAAAGAAATGGGGGGGGGGGGGGGGCGGGGGGAGACTTGGATAAATATTAAGCCAAGAAATAACAATTCTTCAATGTATTAATGATTGAATAAAACTAAAAACTGACATATATGACAGCCTTCCATTATTTCCAAAGTCCTGGTCCATCAAACTTAATGAGGAGTTATGGGATTCAGCATGAGTTAACATTGAAATTCTCATGAATTCTGGGAATCTTGGACCATTTTGCACAGCACAAAGTATATGCTTGGCTACAACATTCATATGGAAATTAAGTTTTTATGACATTAAAAATTAACTTAGCTTCAGAAATCTTGATATTTTGCTAGTTGGTTTTAGTAGATAATTGGTATTATGTTGTTCAGTGTTTTAAAATGTATTAAGATATGTACCAAACAGTAAACTGAAAATTATCATATTATACTTTGTATTTTTGCTTTAGTCATTATAATCACGTTGAATTTATGTGATCATTGATTTTATTTCATATGGAAAAGCTAATTTCTTCTTAAATTTGCATTATGTTTTCACTATCTATGTTCTACAACCCAAATGCCTCCTTTTCCTGCAATATCATCTAAACGGATGTGGGGAAAAAAAAGGTTTGTCTATCACGGGATGATTTCATTTGAAACAGGAAAGAATCAGATACAATTTTCTATTCAAAATTTGCTAGTTTCAACATTGTTTGGTTCAAAAACATTAGTGATGTTCCAATCAACCACTTTTTTCCCCTTGAAACTTCAAGATAATGGTATATGTTAACTTTTCTATATGTTGCTCCAGTTTTTCATTCACTCTTATAAAATTAATCATTTGAATTCATTGAGAAAATATTCCTTTCATTAACAAAAAAAGGAACTATTGTAATTTAAAATAGATAAGCTTAACTGAATCCATACATTCTCATAAGGCTGGAGCCGCCCCTTAGTCCTTCATGGTGTTCTCTTACCTAAAACTCATTAAGAACCACATCAGATTCAAGCCTCTCTCCCAATCAGACCTCACTTATCTGGACACTTCCAAGTCCTATGTCATTGTGCTCCCAGACTAAGGCCCATGAAAATGACCTTGTGAAACATCAAAATGTTAACTTTCAAAATGAATATATATCAAGTAAAACTCTTCCTGCCCTCATTTTTCTGAAGAGATGTTATGAGCCTAACTATAATTTTGATTTTTGGGTTTCTTTGTGTTTTTTTTTTTTTTTGCAATTTAAAATAGATAAGCTTAACTTAATCCATATATTCTCATAAAGCTGGGGCCTTCCCTTAGTTTTTCATAGTGTTTTCTTCCCTGATCAAAACTTGATCCCTGAAAAGTTTTTAATAAACTAATTTATCAAAATGTTTTTAGGAAAATTTTGCATAAAGTGAAATGCAACTATCTTAAATATATAATTCAATGAGTTTTGAAAAGTGCATTCACCATGTAACCCACATCTCTATCGATATACAGATTATAGACAATTTTCATGTACTGAGAAATTACCTCCAACCTCTTTGCAGTGGATTTTGTCATCCTCATGCTTCATCCCCAGGCAGCAGCTTTGCCTGATCTATAATGTCACACAAGAAGTATTCTTTTAGCTTCAACTTTATCTCAGTATCATGTCTATCTATTAGATTCAGTTGCACTGTGGTGTACATCAGTAGTTTATTACTTTTTAATGTTAAGTAGTATTTGATAATACGGCATATTAAAATTTGTCTATTCACCAATCAATAGACATTTATATTGTTTCTTTTTAAAAAACAACTACTGTGAAAAAGGCCATAATGAATGTTCTTGCCCAGGGCTTTTGTGAATAAATGTGTTTATTTCTCTTTAGTACTACTTAATAGGGAAATTATGGATCATATGGTTACATCTGAACCCTTTTGAAAGGAGGAAAGTATCTGACCCAAAGGTTTTTATTTTGTTTTCTTAGATATCCACTGTGCAATCCCAACAAGGAGACCCAAATAAACCCTACTGGATTTTGAGGTTGGTCACTGAACACAATGACGCCGACTCCCTAGAAGTGAAGAAAGATACAGAACGAGCCGATGAGATCCGAGCCATGAAGCAAGCCTGGGAGACAGCAGAGCCAGGAAGAGCCATCAAGGTCACTTGAGTTTGGAAAGTCGTTCTTTTCCTTCTCATCCCCAGGCATGGTTGGAAGGAGGAGCCGTGTTGGTGAAACCACACAGTCTTTCCTTTAGGAACTGTATCTGGCACTTTCTTGGACATGGACTAGATGTTAAGACCACATTTGGACACGTTGTGAAATGTTTCCCTCCTGATACCATGATGACTTGCAAAAGCAAAGCACATAATAGTGCCATTTATTGACCCAAACTGTGGGTTACCTCATTCTTTTGCATAGCCTGGGCTTAACGCTGTCTACCCTTAATGCTCCCAGCTAAGACAGCCTGAAACTGCTTTATATGTGCTTTCGTGTACTTTGAACAGCCTTATGGATAAAAAAGCACATGCTGCCCTCTGTGATACAGTACATACAGGGCTGGGCACAGGTAGAGTTACAGTTGCAATATAAATAAATAATACAATAATTAATAAATAATAATACAAGAATAAACTCTGTTTCATGTACTCCAAACTGTAAAGCTCCTTTTGCCTACCCCTGTATATCTCATGTCTCCCTCCCCCTATATTTTATATAAGAATCATTGCTGCCCAGCCAGTGTGGCTCAGTGGTTCAGCATCAACCCGTGCACCAAGAGGTCACTGGTTCGATTCCTGGTTAGGGCACATGCCCAGGTTGTTGGGCGCAGTCCCCAGTGGGGGGCATGCAGCAGGCGGCCAATGTTCTCTCTCATAGATGTTTCTATCTCTCTCTCCCTCTCCCTTTCCCTCTCTCTCTCAAATCAATAAAGAAAAAAAAAAAAAAAGAAGGAATTATTGCCATAGTGAAACAGTATTATTTATTTGTGTTTCATGTCCTCAGGCAGGGTGACTGAGGTGGATGAAAACGCGATTTAAGGGCATCAATTTTGGGATGCCCTTCCTTAGTTCTCAAAATTGCTGTCCCAAACATGGATGGTTTAGAATTTGAGTTTATTTGATAATGAATACATGCTGGCCTGGTTCCAACTGCCTGATTCATTCACATTTTCCTGGGTTTTTTAATATTTTTGTTATTAGTACCATTCAGATGTTGTCCGTGCTGTTTGTTGACAATGTTTGTTCCGTAGGCCTCCCAGGCCCGTCTGCATTACCTCAGCCAGTTCCTTAAGAAAACCCCGGACGCCGAGAGCGTGCCTGTGCCCAGTTCAGAAAGCCAGTCAAGGGCAGCGGAGGAAGGTTGGTAAACCCACCCCAGCTGCCTCGGCGCACTTGCTCCTCCTACATGACAGTCAGCACGTCACGCTGGGTAAAGAGAAAACATTTCAGAATCTACTTTCTTAAGGGTTGTAAAAAGTCACATACAATCCTATAAAAAATAGATCTCCTTTTTTTTTTTTCCACCAAGTATACAGTTACTTTTTCCATCAAGTAGATACGATTTTCTCCATTTAATACGCAGTAAAACCAGGAATAAGATTGTGACCTGGCTAGAAGGTAGCAGTATGCAAACTTGAAGGCAATGTCCTACTATAAATCTGGCCCCTCCCTAATAACCATAAAAATGAATAATGGCGATAGGATCATGGTAATAAAGTTCACCACATTTATGGGGTGATTGCCTTGGACATGGGACTGTGAAATACTAATGATTTTATTTAATACTCATACAACTCATTAATATATAATATTATTTTCAACTTACAAATAAGGACAAAAGCCCAGAGTAATGTGCTCAGTAGTTGCTCAGTTCACCAGATAGCAGGGGCAGACCCAGCAGGCCGACAGAACTCCTCATCATCCCCGGGTCTGCTCACCAGTACTAGGCGCCTCGTTCCCATCCCAGAACACACTTCTCTACTTTTACAGCTTCAGGAAAATAATCCAATTATTGTTATGAAAATAATGTCTCTTAACTTCTCATAAACAATCTAAACAGTAAATATCACCCTAATCCTGTTATCCTGGGAGGTGCTCTGTTCAAAATGCTTCATGAATATTATCTCACTTTAACCTACCACAACTATGATACAGACATTCTATTCCCATTTTACAGCTAAAGAGACCAACGCTCAGAAGGTCATCTTATTCTTCCTAAGGCACACAGACCTAAAAAGTGACAACATTGGGATTTAAAATATTTCTAATTCCTAAAGTACTCACTCCTCAACTTGAGTTAAATAATATTAGAAATAAAAGGTGGATAGAATATAATTCTTGTTCTTTAAACTTTAGGTTTTATTATTATTATTTTAAAAATGTATTAAGTTAGCCCTGACCCAGGGACTTACTTGGTCGGAGCACCATCCCATACACCAAAAGGTTGTAAGTTTGATTCCCAGTCAGGGTACATACCTAGGTTGTGGGTTCAATCCTCTGTCAGGGGCTTATATCGGAGACAACTGATTGATGATGGATGTTTCTCCCTCACATTCATGTTTCTCTCCCTCTCTCCATCCCACACCTTCCTGTCTATCCTCATGAAAAAAAAATGTATTAAGTTATATGTAAAAGAAAAAGTATTGCACTGGATACTTGTTAAAAATGACAAGGAAAACTTTAAGACTATTGCAGTAGGAGTCAAGGCTGTTGTAATTGGGAGAGAGATTAAATTCAACTCTGAATACCACAGGGACAAGTGGGCATTTACAACCAATAGGCCGGAAGTGGAGAACAAATAACTCAGAGGAGCTTCCTTTGGTATCAAGGGTCAAGGAAGAGGAACTTGATTGAATATCAAGGATGGGAGAAAGAGAACTTGATTGGATACCTAGGGTGTGGGGAGTTCTCAGTAAACTGATTAGCAGGATTCTGTGCTACAAACTGGAATTCTTCCGAAACCAAGGACAAGACCTAGTAAGGAGCAGGGCTCAGGGGAATCATCCAAAGTTCATGCAATAAAGGTACAAATCTCAAATCCACAGCTTCATGAAGTTTCACATATGTAGAAAATTCAGGTCAAGGTATAAAACACCTAATGCATCCCTGAAGTCCTCCTCATTTCCTTCCTCAAAGTAACTACCAGTCTGACTCCTATCACCACGAATTAATTTTGCCTGTTCTTGAACTTTATATATTTGAACTCATACACTGTATGGCAAAGAAGATGATGTGAGTGGAAAATTTGAGGAGCACAAGCACAGGCTTAAAGATATTCAAATTCAAGTTATTTAAACACTGACCTTAAAACAAAATACCTATGAGGAAGATTTCTTCCCATCATTTGTGATCATTGCTTAAGCTAAGCAGGGCTGGGAGGTCAGGGGCTTAAAAAAGTGTATTGTCATGATCAAATTCACATTGCAGATCCCTGGTGACTTGTAAGGGTAAGATTTTAAAGGGGAAAAGAATAGAAATGGAGAAACTATTTAGGAAAGTACTGTAGCAGTCCAGATAAACTCACACAGTATATTTACCTGTTCTATTTCTTCTTGCCTCAAGGTTAGTAAGTTGTGTTTTACAAAACATGTGTTTATTTTATCTAAGTTAAACTTCCTAGAAAATGTTTTATTACAACTTTTTTCTTCCAATCAGTCTTGCTCTAGGGTTGCATCAATTTTAATAATATTTTTAAAGAACCAACATTGACTACCGAATGTCTCCCTCTTTGTTTTAACATTTCCCCATACTCTTAAGCACTAACCTATTTCATTCAAAGTAGAATATAACACCAAAGAAAACATGTGCAACTGGTCAGTAGAGGAAAATGTCCACATACTGTGGAGGTTGTGGGAGGTTTTCCTGTTGTTCCTAAGCATGGAGATCTGGAACAGTGGGAGGAGAATTACAGCTGTAAGAAAAATTCTTCCAGCTTTGCAGCTTTACAAGATTCCTTTCCAGCTGTGTTTTCAGACAGTTTTAAACAGGTGTTTGCACACAGGCCCCATGTGTTCGCAGCTCTCACGTGGGGCCGGCTGCATTGCCACCAGGGCCGCAGGGTCAGCAGCCCAGTGGTTCCGAAACCCCCTTTCCTTTTGTACCGTCTCACCTCCAAACAGCTTCAATTTTTATGTGACCTTTTTATACCCTGAGGCCACGTCCAGACCCACTGGCTGGCTGCCCGGGTCATCCACGCCATCCGCTGAGGGAGCAATGACTGTTTTTGCTAGTTCTCTGGTTAGACGTTGCAAAGCTCACAGGTGTTGGGCTGCAGCCCCGTGCTCTGTTACCTTTTGCATGTGATTTCCTAGAACGCAAGTTTTTCCAGTAATGCACATGCCATGTTGTAACAGAAACAGCTGCAAAAGAGCCAGAAAAAAAGAGTTCTGGGAATGTGGAGATCAAAGAGGAAACACCGTCGGGGACTATGCTGTGGACGAAGTGGCACACGACCAAGACCTTAAAGGATCTGACCAAATCGGTAAGCAGTGAGAGCAGAGGGAAGGAGGACCATGAACAGACCTATCGGAAGGAAAATATCAGTGAGTATCGCTCTCGTGGGTAAGATAAATACATACTCTGAAATATACTAACTTTTAAAAAAATGGGACATCGAGGGTTATACCATAGAAAAATTTGTCTCCTGGATTCATCAGTCTTCATTTGGCTTATCAGAGTGATGGTCTTCTCAAGAATCTGATTATTAAACACACCCTAAAGATAAAAGGGGACAAGTTTTTGTTTTGTAAGTAGAAGGTATCATTTGTGTAATTATACTAAAAGTAAAATTGCAATGATCACATATACATCGTCACTAAACACAGATTCTTTTTGTTTTATCTATAGTGAGCTACATGCTAGATTTTCTTCTTTACCTTTTGTAACAAATTTTAAATATTTTGTTTCCGAAAGGTTGGGAGAGAGCCGTTTTCAGTGGCATACAGTCCATGCTGACCTAGTGCGTTTTCGTGCAGTACAGACTTGCATTTATTCACTAAACCGAACCTAAGCCCTTCGTGGAAGGTGTTACAGAGAAATGTCTGCACAGTCCTGGCTTCCAGGGGGAGGACTTTTCCGAAGCAACTGTTAGATTTTCTGCCACTAACAGAGCTTGGTATGTCATCTGATTGGCACCTTAGGAAAGAATAAATAGGCCTGCCCGTGGGGAGCCCAAGTTCACTGCCCCTTCCTGAGTTGGAAGCACTACTTGCGAGTGGGGTGCTGACCGGCCAGCCAGTTCCAGGGTCCTGTGATCATGCCCATCGGGCTACATCCTCCCATTACACCTACGTCAGTAGTAAACTCTCACTCTCGTTCTCTGCTTGTTCAGAACCCAGGCAGGAGAGACGAATGTTTTGGAAGGAAGCAGCCTCAGAAATGCCAACAACGGTTCTCTTTTCAAAATGGCTAAACCAGTATGAGAATTTTAAAATTAAAAACAGTTTCTGACTAAGACATGTCCTTGGGTGATTTCCACTGTGGAGAGGAAAATTCAAAGGGCTCTTTTACTATACTAAAAAGAGATACTGATATTTTTTGAACCAGTATTATGAAAGTAAGCACTCATTCAATAGGTAATACACATGGTAGTAGCAGTAAAACATCATTTCACATTCATGCTCAGTTGACAGAGTGCTTTTGCATTTGTCTCGGTTGAGCCTCTGTGGACTAGAAAGGGTGCATGTGGTATCTCTGCCTCGGAAACTCGGGACCTGATAAATGATGACTCACCAAGGAGAGGAAGCTGATGGAGTTTGGGCTGAATCAGCACTCAAACCCTCATGCTTTTTATTCTACATACTGTGATCTCTAATCAAATATAAACTTTCCCCCACATTTAAAGATCTGTAAAATAAAAATTAAATTAAATTCTGGTACCAAATTGTTGACTTACACGCTAACAAGGCACTGTTTCAGTTGAGAAAACGCGATGCAACCACAGCAGCCTAGGACTGTGACCCCTCAGTCAGGGTGTGAGTTTATTTCTGTCCCAGACTAGGCTCTCCTGCTTCTCATTCCCTCACACTCTTGGCAACTAGTCTTCAGACCTTTGCCTTCAAGTTTGCATACTGGTAAAGGAGAGTGCTTTGGGGTGGGGTGGAGGGGTCAGCAAACAGGGAGAAAGGTAAGAGAAAGCAGGAAGGGAGGACCAAAGCAGCCTGTCCTCAAGCAAAACTTTTTCAAAAACATTCTTAAATATGTGGTATTATAATTTTAATTTAATATAAAATGATACGTTTATTTATACACCATCAAGAAAAAGTGGCTCCCCCTCCCTCCAATAAGAGGCATGTTGCTGTGTGGTCACCATACAGCCTAACCCTCTGCACATGGCCCTGTTCCTCGGGTTGCGGAAGGAACCAACCCTGCTTGAGACGTGGGTCCAATTGTCCGCTGTGGTCTGGAACCCGCCGCGTTACTCCCACCTCTGCTGTGGGTGCACCACAAATTGGCCCTCGTCCCTAGAAATGCATTGCCTGTAAGAGATCAGAGACCCCCTGGGACCTCACGGGGTGCGGCCTCTACCTCCCCATCAATATTTGTGACTCCTCCAAACTGACCTTATTCTTGCTACTTCCTATTTTCTTAAAGTACGTAACTTAGAACAACTTACTTCATAATACGAGAGGTCATGTAAACAATACCACTAGGAATTTCCCTCCCAAGCGTTCTGCTTCCACTCCGAGCCATCACCAAGGCCCAGACTCCAAGCATTGCTTTCAACTTCCCTTTTATTTCTGGGGGCCTCTGGAGAGTGCCTCTTCCAGAGGTTGGAGATGATCATTGTCTTTAGTCCAACATCTTTTCCCCAGGCTGTATAATCAGTCAAACTGTTCTTCAGCATGTCTTTTTTTTTTTTCTTTTTAATTTATTTTTGTTATTGGCAGCATTACAGATGTGTCCCATTCTCCAGCCAGCTCCTGCCCCACCCCTGGTGTTCACCACACTATTGCTTGTGTCCATGGGTTATGCATGTATTCATATGGTTCATTTGATTACATACAAGTGAGATCATGTCATGTTTATCTTTCTCTGACTGGCTTATTTCACTTAGCATAATAATGTACAGGTCCATCCATGCTGTCTCAAAGGGTAAGATATCCTTTTTTTCTTTTTTTATCCTCACCCAAGGACATTTTTGTTGCTATTTTGTTCAGATAGAGTGGGAAAGAGAGAGAGAGAGAGAAACATCGATATGAAAGGGACACATCAAGTAGCTGCCACCCACACGACCCAACCAGGGCCGTGTACAAACTGTAACCGAGGTACACGCCCCTAGAGGGAATCAAAGCCAGGTCTCTCTGGACCGCAGGCTGATGCTATAACCACTGAGCCAAACTGGCCAGGGCATATCTTTCGTTTTTATAGCTGCATAGTATTCCATTTTGTAAATGTACCCCATCTTTTTATACATCTGACAAGGGGTCAATTTCAAAAATATATAAAGAACTCATGCAACTCAACAACTGGGAAACAAACAATCCAATTAAAAATGGGCAAAGGACCTAAATAGAGACTTCTCCAAAGAGGACACATAGATGGCTAAGAGACATGAAAAATGCTCAATGTCACTAATCATCACAGAGATGCAAATTAAAACTACAATAGGGTATCACCTCAAACCTGCCAGAATGGCTAACATCAATAAATCAACAAACAACAAGCGCTTGGTGAGGGTGTGGAGAAAAAGGGGACTCTAGTACTGCTGGTGGGAATGCAGACTGGTTCAGCCACTATGGAAAACAATATGGAGTCTCTTCAAAAAATTAAAAATGGAACTGCTGTTTGACCCAGTGATCCCACTTCTGAGAATATATCCTAAGAAGCCCGAAACACCAATCAGAAAGAATATGTGTACCCCCATGTTCATAGCAGCACTATTTATAATTGCTAAGATCTGGAAACAGCCCAAGTGTCTATCAGTAGCTGAGTGGATAAAAAAGTTGAGGTACATTTACACAATGGAATACTATGCAGCTTTGCCACATCTTTTAAATAGTAATTCTCATGCTAACTGTGATGAAAGAAGTTCTCTCCCAGTCTGATGCAAACTGAAACTTTATAAAATACAAAATAATAATAATAATAATAACCCAGTGATGACCAATTGCTGTAAAAATAATATTAAGTGCATGCTGTCACTTTCAGAACTTATCCCATAGAGGACCAGTTTGCAGTTGGAGGATGGCATGCGCATGCGCGCGCGCACACACACACACACACACACACACACACACACACACCAAGCCACACTGTTTGGAGGCCCAAGACCGTAATACTACACTCAAACCCTGTTTGGATAAAACAGAGTTTTCTAGATGAACATGATTTCTCCACCCTTTTTCCACCCTCTGTGTTTAAATATATATTATTTGACTGGATGTAAAAAAAAAAAAAAAAAAAAAGAAGAAGAAGAAGAAGAAAGAAAAACACAAACATTGAATTAATTAGAAAAATATTTTCTTTCCAGCCAAAGTCTGCAGTTGGTATGTTATAGAAACAATTCAAGTAAAAATGCCAAAAATATACCCAGCATAGTAGATTATGTTCATGAGAAAAGCAAATGTACAATAGAAACTTAAGGTCCCATTGTAACCATGATGCAAAAAGAAAAGTTACTGGCTGCTGGTTTCTAAGAGTCATAGAATAAAATTTTTAATACTTCAGGGGTATTTTATTTAATGTTATAAAATGAAAAGTGTGATTGAATTCGTGTTTTGATAATGGAGCAGAGTTGGGATTTGTATTACTATGTTCTATTTTCTCATGTGTATCATGACTTCATGTATTTTTTTAAAAGAAAAATTAATTTGCATGTTATTTTTTGTATTTTTAAAGGTTTATGTTAAATTATATTTTTGAATAATCACTTAACATGATGTTAAAAATTAGGCACTTTGCAATATTTTTGGAGACTATTATAACTACATGTTAAAAATCAAGGTTAGTCAGTGTGTGTGGGGGGGGGTGAGACTTCTTAAATGATGGAGTGAAGACTTGACATACCCTCTCCCCAAAAAGCAGTGATAAGAAGAAGAAAAAAGACTAAACTATTTGAAACACTGAAGGCATACAACTAAATGAAAAATATTTATTAAAAATAAAAACAGCCCTTGCCAATTTTGCTCAGTGGTTAAAGCCTGCAGATCAAAGGGTCACGAATTTGATTCCCAGTCAAGGGCATGTACATACCTAGGTTACAAGTTTGATCCCCTGCCCTGGTTAGGATCATGTGAGAGGCAATCAATCGATGTATTTCTTTCATCTATGTTTCTCTCTCTCTCTCTCCTCCTCCCTCCCTTCCCTTCCACTCTATCTAAAAGTGAATGGAAAAATATCCTCGGGAGAGGATTAACAACAAAAAAGAACAACTAATACATTTTCTTAATTGTATTAGTTTTCTCTTGCTGCTATAACAACCACAAACTTAGTAACTTAAAACAATACTAATTTCTTACAGTTCTGTGGGAAAGAAATTCTAAAATTTAGATGTTGGCAGGGCTGCCTGTCTCCTGGAGGCTCTAGGGGAGAATCTGTGTCTGTCTGGGTACTGTGATGCTGGTCAAGGCAGGCAACCAATCAGTCAACAGTTGAACAGGGAGATCTGGGTAACAAAATGACCATAGTGATTTCAACCTAGGGTCAAGCACAAAGCAGGATGTCTACTCTAACCACTTACATTCAGTACTTTAAAGGAGGTTCTAACCATTTCAATAAGGAAAAGAAATAAAACACACCCACGTTAGAAAGAAAGAAGTAAAACTGTATTCTCAGGTAAATTGATCCTGTATACTGAAAATCCTAAGGGATTGGGGAAAAAGAACCAAGAATATAGTATACAACTAATGAGTTTAGTGAGGTCACATGACACAAAATTAATACACAAAAATTTCTTTTATTTCTACATATTATCAATGAGCAATCACAAATAAAACTAAGACAGTTTCTTTCACACTAGCATCACTAATAAATACATGGAAATTACTTTAATAAAAATGAATTATATACTGAAATCTACAAAACATCACTGAAAAAAATTTTCCAAAGATCTAAATAGAGAGGTAGTGCATGCTTCAGACTTTCAGACTAGAAGACTCAATATAGTAATATTGTGTATTCAGATTCAATTCTCTACAAATTTATCTACAAATTTAGTGTAATCCCTATCAAAATCCTAGTAGAAGTTTTACACAATTTGATAAACTGATTTCTAATCCAAACTTATATGAAAATGTAAAAGGCCCAGAATGACCAAAATAATTTTGATAAATAACCAAGGGGGAGGATTTTACTTTGTGATTTCAGAATTTATTATGAAGCCAACAATAATCAAAACACTACAATCTGACAGTTTCTTGAAAAGTTAAACGTAAGTTTACCATTTCTACTTACATAAAATGTCCAAGAAAGGCACATCTATAAACAGAAAGTAGATACCCGGTTGCCTGGGGCAGGAAATGGGGAACAACGGTAAAAGGCAGAAGGGACTTCATTTGGGTAATAGAAATGGTTTGAAATCAGATTTCGGTGCTGGTTGCACAACTCTGTAATTTTATTAAAAAGTATTGAATTATATTTTTTAAATGGGAAATTTTTATGGTATGTAAATTATACTTCAGTAATTTTTTTAAATGAGACTAAATGGTCTAGAAAGATGGAATATTACTCAGCCATAAAAAAGAAAATCTTGCCCTTTGCAACAATATGGCTGGACCTAGAGGGTATTATGCTAAGTAAAGTAAGTCAGGCAGAGAAAGACAAATACCATATGATTTCACTCATATATGGAATCTAAAAAACAAAAACAAAAGAAATGAACAAATATAACAAAACAGATAGATAACAAAGAACAAACTGATGGTTGGCAGAGGCAAATGGCATGGGGAGGGGATGGGCAAAAAGGTGATTAGGATTAGAAGGTACAAACTTCCAGTTATAAAATAAGTTACAGAAGCATACAGTCAATCATATCATGACTATGTATGGTGTCAGATGGGTGACTTATTGTGCTGATAATTTTGTAAAGTATATAAATGTTAAATCACTATGTGGTACATCTGAAACTAGTAATATAATATTGTATGTCAACATAATTTTAAAATAATTAATAATTACATGTTTACCAAATGGCCTAGAAAGACTGAATGGTGCCCTGGCCGGTTTGACTCAGCGGTTAGAGCATCCACCTGCGGTCCGGAGAGACCCGGGTTCGGTTCCCGCTAAGGGCATGTACCTCGGTTGCAGTTTGTCCCCGGCCCTGGTTGGTCGTGCGGGTGGCAGCCACTCGATGTGTCCCTTTCACATCGATGTTTCCCTCTCTCTCTCTTCCTCTCTCTCCCTCCCACTCTATCTGTGCAAAAAATGGAAAAATGTCCTCGGGTGAGGATTAAAAAAAAGAAAGAAAAAAAAAAGAAAGACTGAATGGCTAGTATCTTAGATTCTAAAATCTTTTGTAAATCTGTCCTTGTGGTTTCATATGGGTCTGTGGAGTAAAAAACTCCTGCTAATTTGATATTCATTGTTTCTCTATTACATGTCGCCTACTCCATGGACTAAAAGCTTTTGATGGTAGAATACTGTATCTTAAATATTTTTATATTCCAACCCTATAGTGCTTAGTATAGTTCTCACATATAGACCAAGTTCTTTAAATATTGGGTTATTTAATTGTTTATAATGTAGCTTCATAACTTACACATGACCGCTCTTTGTTTCTGCCTTCATTTAACTATAATTAGAATACCATTTTGTTAGGTGTCTTACAGACTCTATTCATTTTGTCATCTCTTTCATTTAACTATAAGTATAGTAACACCAAAAGATAAATATAAAACATAAATATATTTTAAGTCATAATAAATACATTAAATAAGGCAAGTCCAAATCAATGGTTGTTTTCTTAACAGAAAATATTATCTTTCATTAAAATGAGATATAACAGTCATTTAGTTAGTTGCTGATTTTTTTGGAAGCTTAAGACTTTTTTTTTTCCTTTCTTTCTTCTTCTTCTTCTTTTTTTTTTTAACAGGGCCAAGTTCACGATCCCAAACAATTTTGGAAATGTCTCCACGACTTATTCGAAAAGCACTAGAAGGTGTAGATTTAACTCAATATGTACGGTAAGTTTTAGTAGACGTGATTAATGTAGACATCTGTGCTCATGGACTTTTGGATATGCTGCTAATGGGCATTTGTTAAACAAGTGAAATTTTAAATATGTTTTCAGTGTAGTTAAATATTTAGAAGTACATGATTTTACATCTCAGATTTAGCAAGTGTTAAGTCAATCATAAAAGTATTTCAGTGTTTTCTGTGAAGATTTATTGTGTAGCTTGATTAAGGTGAGTTGAATTACAGAAAATTCTCACTGTGCCTGCTGCCATTATTCAGGTAGATTCAGTTTTCTTAAGAACCAGACAATAGTATTAATAGGAAGCTAGCTACTCAAGCATCTGTATAACTCTGGAAACATTTTCAAAATCATTCAGCGTCTTAAATTTAAAAAGAAGACCTGCAAAACAAGCTCACAGCTCCAAACACCAGTTCCACGAACATCTTATCAAATGGTGCATCTAGTTATACCAATATTTTCTTTAAAACATTTTTCCAAAATATCAATGATTCAATGGATGAATCATAGCCCATATAAAAATAGTGGTTTATTCTTTCTATTCCTAATATTTGATTTTAATTTTATTCAGACTCTCATACTGTTGATATGATATTAAATTATTTGAGTTATAAAGTTCGTTCTGGAGTTCCCAAATGATTTGTCTCTTTTTTAAAATTCTAATTTAATTGGATTTAATTCTTTTCATCACTGTTTATTAAGTATCTCTTTTGATGTTTCCATCTCAAGGAAAACAAACACTGAGCCTCTGCTGCAAACGGCTGAACTGAATCAGCAGCAGGCAATGCAGAAGGCAGAGGAGATTCATCAGTTTCGACAGTATAGGGCCAGAATTCTTAGCATTCGAGACATTGACCAAGAAGAACGGGTTAAGTTACAGGATAAAGTCCTGGAGATGTATTCGGACATGCGGGTGAGTCTCAAAGTGCATACATGGATCACAGCCGACACATTCCTTTGCACTGTTCAAAAGATGTCAGATCACACAGTACCTGGGTAGAAAGACATCTTGAAAACATTTAGTTCCCAGCTTCTCAGAAAAGATGGCAAAATGATTATAGTACACACTAATTCCAGTCACTCCCCCAAATCCCTCAACAGTGCAGCATTGGGGATCAGTCCACAAAGTGGGAAGAAAGGGAGAGAAGACAACAGAATGTTTGTGAGGTTGGAAAACAGCTGGATGAAGGTGGCATTGACAGGCTTGAGGCAGCCCAAACCGGCTGGCCATAGGAAAGAAACATCAGCAGCGACATGTTCTCGTGCGATGGGAGGAGAACGCACCCGTCCTCAGGGATTACTGACATACATTAAATTCACTTTACATGGAACCCTTACGACGGCTCCGTCTCTATTTTTTTTGATCTATGTCACTACTGTCGTTCTGTACTTGTACGAATAGTTCAGAGAAGTCGATTTTGTTATGGTAGATACAGCATTTTTCTCTCATCAAACGTCCAGCTGTTTCGCCATCTCAACCAAAGTCATTCAAGTTGCAAAACTATGGAAAATTTCTTGAAGAATTTAGCGATAAAGACAAAACATTTCTAGAAACTTTTCTTCCAGCCAGCATCCATTCATTAGTCCTTACTCTCTCGTTATATCCTTTTGAAACAGTAAACAATCCACACACCGAACCATAATTGCGGCCCTACTATCTGAAACCCAAGGGGAAGTAGCAAGCCATGGCCTCCTAGCAACCTCCATCGACAGTAATCACTGCCTTCTTTGTAAGCATCTGTTGAGAAGTCATTTCATAATTTGTTTCTAGAATGTTGCCTGGAACTGACATTAAGTGTCCAAGTCTGTACTTTTGAAAATTCTTCTTCTTTTTAAAAAATATTTATTTTAAATAGTTTAATGTTTACCTGTTTCTAGTCTTCGGACACTTTTCACTTCCACAGTTGATTCACTGAACAAATATTTCCGGGCAGTTTTGTGCCGGGGACTCTCCTCAGCATGAGCAAAAGAGATAAATGCCTCCCTGCCCTGTGAGGTTTATATTCTAGTGAGGAAATAGATGCTTAAATATAAACACAATGCGTACGTTCATTGTGTAATAGGATAGAGAGGGATACGTGTTGAGAAAAACAGAGTAGATGGGATCGGAGCACAGTGACTCAGAAGAGACGGGATGTACTTGGTGCACGAGAGGAAGCACAGTGGGGCGCCTGTGCCGTAGGAGCAGTGACCGAGGTAAGTGACCGGAGAAGAGGTCAGAGAATAATGGGGTCATGGCACAGGGAAGGTCATCGTGTAGGACTGTAAAGGCCACCACGAAAACATTAGCCTTTATTATAAGGGAAACATGGAGCATGACAGGGTTCCAAACAGCAGAGGAGTGACATAATTTGACAAGTTTTAAAAGGATTGCTCTGGATATAGTGTGGAAAACAGATAAAAACAGAAGCCCGGGGTCATGGGTGAAAAAGATCTGCGAGGAGACTGTTTCACTGAGCACGTGAGAAACAACTGTGCTTCATGCTGAGGTGCTACGGTGCAGGTGGTGAGCAGCACTTGGATTCTGTATGCATTTTCAAAGCAGAATCAACGGGATTTCCTGATGGGTTGGAAGGGAAGGGAAGGATTTCAATTTGGGACATTTGTTTGATATACCATATTTATTATATCAAAACAGACATTTTTATTTATCAGACAGTCGTGTATAATTGAATTGAAGTTAGATGTGTGATTCTAGAATTTGGGAGGGAGATCTGGACTAAAGATTTAAAAAATAAAGGGCAGGGGTGGGGGGCATCGGTTTATAAATGGACTTTAAAGCCATAGGGTTAGATGATTTTCAGTGAATGAGACCTAAGATCTGAGGTGTGACCACTTTCACATTCATAGATGAAGGAGAAAAAGAGAAATCAGCAAAAGTGGCTGACAAGGAACAGGTAGTGAAGTGAAAGGAAAGTAAAGAGAGTATGATGTCCAAGAAACCAAGTGAAGGCAGCTGATTCAGGAGGAAAGAGTACAGTTAAGTCAAAATAGGAGCCAGAAATGATCTCGGATTTAGCTACATATAGGCCACTGGTGTCTTTGATGAATGTAAGAATGAAAGCCAAACTGACGATATCGAAGATAACCAATGGTGTCGGTGATATTATCTGGAAACGCAACTCAGATATATTTTGTCAGAACTAGAACATGTGTGAAAACTGGTGATGAGACACATGGCATGTACATTTGATACATTTTATATCTGAACTCATAGAAAGCAGGGAGTTGCTCTGCCACATTCCTGCCTGTTTCATTCTTAACCTTTGTCTTTATTTTCCTCCTGTTGACGTTTTTATTTGTTATTCTGTTAAAATCTCATGTACCCTTTGTTGCTGCCTCATGTTGTATGTCTTGATACACATTTGAGACCCCGACTTCAGTAATCTCCCCCCACCCCGCATGGATCTGCTGGCAAGAGGAAAGGATACAGTTCTTGCAGTTGTTTGTTTCCTTCTTTTCTCTGGGACGTGAGACTTTATCGGTGGCCCTTACTTGCTGAGTTTGTGTTTCGAAACAGGACTCCTTGGATGACGCGCGCCAGAAGATCTTCGCTGTCCGGGAGGAGTACAGGAACAAGCTGCTGGACGCCGAGCGCCTGCGGCTGGAGGCCCTGGCTGCCGAGGAGGCCGCGCGGGCCGAGCTGGAGAAGAGCTCCGCCTCCGACAAAGAGAAGAAGAAGAAAGGAAAGAAAAAGTGACCAGGGGATGCCCAATACCACCCTCCCTCTGAAGAAGGAAGACCCATGTTCCATTATCTCTGGCTTGGCCTGTTGATGAGAAAAATAGGAAGTTAAAAAAATAGTTGTCCTACCTTAGCCATAGTTTCTGTATTTTAATGTTCGTTCGTTAGTTTTCTGCAGAAAGCTTTCTTGGTAGTCATTTGAGTTTAAATTTTTCCAGTCTTAATAAAAATGCCTCAAATACACAGAATGTCGTAAAACGTGTCTCGCTCTGAACTGCTCCATTTTTAGTGAATACTGAAACAGGATCATAAATGAGCCAACAGAATTGCCTTTGAAAAATTCAACAATGAGAGAAATAGCTATTGTTCTTAGGGAAAATGTTGTCTCTAACTTTAAAGACTTCAAAATATTAAAAAATATGTTTCAGACTTGTGTTTTTCTTAAAAAGCTGAATGTCAATAAACCTCCCTCATTGGGCAAGAACTATTGTGGGTTAAGCCCACCAAAAGGGTTAGAACTCTGCATCGTATCAGTGAGTCACGATAACCCAGGCACAGCGCACGCGATCACACACACACATCGTCACGTGTACCCGAATCGTATCTTTTGTAAGACAGAGAACATGTCCTTGTATGCTGGTTTTAGAAAAATACGAGTGGATAACTGAGGCACATAGAAGGAAACTGAGTTTCCCAAAAAGCACACCCAATTCACGACTTTCTCAGATGAAACTTCCCATAGTACTTTTTAACCAGTCAAAGCTATTTCACTGTGGTAGGTGATTTTTACTTTTTACATTTATGTACATTGTTATTGTTTTAAAGTTAATTTCTCATACATATGTATATGTGATTTTACTTAATAAAATATGCAAACACATGCACGTGTTGCTCTATTACTTTGTCAACACTTTCCTTCACAACCCTATGATCTCCCAGCCCCTCTATAATACCTGGTAACCTAATAAGCATGTTTCCAATTTTTCACATACCTCATATAATAATATATCAGTGTTTTATATAATATTACAGCTTGTTTTACAAAAAGTCATTTCATTATTTATGCTTCATTTTTCTCACCAAAAAATACAAAATCTGAGTCAAAAGCAGTTTACTTTTTTACTTGCTGTGTAAAATTTCATAGTATTAATATATCACAATTTATTCAACTAGTTCTTTTTTTATAGTCTTTGCAAAAATATTAGTTTATTAGTATTAATGACATTAACAAAATACGCTTCATAAATCACATTTTTATTTTGCTACTTAATTTCATTCAGGCTGTGAGTTTTTAAAGAAAACAACCTGCTCTAGAAGGTCATTCTAAATTAGTTATATTTGGCTTGACCCAATATTTATTTTAACACTAGGCCATTTGGCATTCAGCCAAAATGAATATTTGCTACACTTCCAACATGAATTTTAGGCACTGAATCAAGGAAGCTCCCAAAATCGTGGGTCGGACACTGTCCAGCGGGCTCCTGGTTAACTGGAGCATCTCAAAGCTGGTCCATTGATCTCCCTTCTTCCAAGTGTCAACTAGTTCTTCATTGATGAATATTTACTTTGTAGATATTTGCCATATAGGCTATATACTTGAAAATGTGTGTGTGTGTGTGTGTGTATGTGTGTGTCAAGAGCTTAAAGTATTACACTGGTATATCTCTTCAAGTTAGATAGAATTCATCTGTAAATGTATCTTGCTGTTATAATGAAATGATATACAGATATCCTCAGTTTCTGAAAGTTCAAGTTGTTCCATTTTACTTTATATGAGAAAGAGAGGGAGAGAGAGAATAAAATATTGTTCAGCCATAAAAAAAAAGAAGAAAATCTTGTCATTTGTAAAACGTGAATCTGGAAGATATTATGTCAGACATAGTAAGACAAATACTGCATGATCTTCCTTACATGGAGAATCTAAACCAGTCAAATGCAGACTAATTTACAGGTGGTTTGTAACTGTGACTCACATATTTAGAATGGGGTTGCCATTAGTGATACATTTTCAAAATGTTAAACAACCCTTGGTAAATTTTTAAGATAACAATGTTTAGTCTGCCTTTATTGTACACAGTGGTTGCATTTCTGAAATATTCAGTGAACTTTGAAACTGCAAAAAACACTCTAGTTTTATGTTTCTGAAAGAGTTGGTCTCTTGGATCATTGGCTTGCTTTTAGACTACAAGAATAATGGTCCATTCAAATCATATAGCAAATAATTCTTTATTGCATGTGACTCTTTCAAAAACGAGGGGATGTCTAACATTCTTGACCTTCAACCTTTATTTTTTAAAGTGCACCATGCATTTATTTATTTATTTTTATTTTTTGTTACAGATATTTCTTCTTTTTTTCTCCCGTTGACACCCTTCTCCCAATCCCGCAACCCCCCGGCAGTGTTGTCTGTGTCCATGGTTACGCATGCATGCATATAAGTTCTGTGGTTTATCTCTTTCCTCCCCTCTACCCCCCTCATTTGATGTTTGTCAGTCTGTACTCTACTTCTATGTCTCTGGGTCTATTTTGTTCATCAGCTTGTTTTATTCATTATATCCATAAATAAGTGAGATTATGTGATATTTGTCTTTCTCTGATTGGCTTGTTTTACTTAGGATAACACTCGCCAGGTCCCTCCATGTCATCTCAAAGAATAAGAGATCTTTCTTTTTTATAACTGCGTAGTACTCCATTGACTATATGTGCCACAGCTGACCTTCAACCTTTAAATAGCAGAAGTTCTCTCCCATTATTGGGACAGCCCAAAATGCCCACTCATAGTATCTACATATTCTAGAGCGGTGGCACTGTCCCCACTGAGATCATCCCAATGTAAAAGAATAGTAGAGATTGCTGAGAAGCTGAACATTGTAATGTCTGTGGATCCCAGTTATAAATAACTCTCTTAGAATACACAGATATAAAATATCCTCCACTGTGCTGACTGAACTAGCCAGAGTATACCTATAAAGGAGAGTGTATGGCCTTCCATTCAGTTTCTTTCTCCTCAGTCTCCTATCATCTACCTCTTTACATCCACTCCCCACCTCACCAGTACTTCAAGGTCAACACCTTCTTTCTCAGGCCTCCTGTAAGAGCAGAGAACGTAGTTTTCCTCTTCTGCAGTCCCAGACCTGCCTCTGAGTCCATAGTAATAATCCCCAGGTGCAACTCTGGTGGTAATGAAACATCATTATAAGAGAAATTTAATTCCTCAGTGCCCCCAACACCTCCACTGGAGAACAGATTGTGGCTGTCCCTCTTGCAAAATCAAAGGGTCTACTAAGTGCTTTGTGAAATGTTAACAAAGGAAAGTCCAGTTAAATGAATCAGATTTGCTGACAACTTCAGTGAACTTTAACTGAATTCTGGTCTCTGAGTGCCCCTGAAATATTTAGATTATTTTCACACATTAAAAAGATGTATAGTATTATAATATGCTGACATTTTCCTTGTGTCTCTCTCTCATTCAAGAGAAACTTTTGCATCCACTACCTCTAGAAAAATAGAGGGAGACGTGGCAAAAAGAGCCATGTGGTATTGAAATTTGCCTCAGAAAAGAAACCGTGTGTACCACGATCCCCCTCCTAACCCCCAACTTTGGCCATATCCCAGATGGGATTATTTATGCCAGATTAAGGAAAGTTTCCAATGACCCCTACAGAACATTTCTGAAATTAACATTATGAAGGAACTTTGGTTTCAAGCTGTTGTTATTTTTTGCCTAGTAAATTATAAAACAGCTTTTATTTGTCTTAATTTAGATAAAATCGTTTTCAACCACAGGTGTGTTTTCATGGAATAGTTTCATTGCATGCTGAAGGCATTGCGTGAACTTCAAATTTAGGTTAAACATCCTTGGTTTGATATGGGCATAGATAGCAGCATCACCACACAATAACGAAAGTCATTTTTAACACATTTTATTCATTTTAAAACTTCACTTACCTAATCTGTAAAACCCTTTTCATCTGGTATATAATATAATGACACTCTTTATTTTCAATGTTTATCAAACTTTTTATTTCAGAATCAACAATTCAAATAGCATATGGATGTCTCTTTTATTCCACTGTAGGTGGTTGATATATTTAGACAAATACAATGAAACCTAATAAAAATGGTATTTGCCTTTGTGGAAAAGATTCCCGATTAATATGTTATGTAGTAAAGACTGATCAGTTAATATTTAAATGGCTAAATAATATAAATCATGATTATACCTTGTTGGTGAAATTGGGCTAAAATATAGAGTTAACATCTCTATAACATCTTAAAGGTTTGAAAAAAAAATTTACATGCTGTTTTCACCAGAAAGATTAGTTTCAACTTGTTCAAATGACCAAAATCATATTAGATATAATAACCTGACCAAAAACTATTCCATTGATTAATAAAAGTAGGATACAAAATTGTTGCTATGTATCTCTTTCCTCAAGGAATGTTTATGTATTTCTCCTGAAATTTGGTCCAGTCTTAACCAAGTTACTTCTGGAGTAGCATACGCCAAGTCTGCATATGATGTCTGGAAAACAAGCTTTGGCAAATAATATTAACATTTTTCTAAGGACTATCTTCCCCATAGCAAATCATCTCAAGAAATTAAACTATTAAAATAAGACTCCATGAAAATAGTTTTTAGAACAGTCAACTTGAACTCAAAGCTGCTTTCCAATTATGATTTATATAGTCTCCTCATATTTGTTCTTGGGGTTTTTTTTGTTTGTTTGTTTGTTTGCTTGTTGGTTTTTTCATTTATCAACATTAAAGTCACCTCTGGCTCCATAAAGACAAAAAGAAAGAATTCTTGAAAGAAGGTTAAAATTCATCATGAGGTGCTCATATATCATTTGCAGATTTCAATAACCACTGGCCTCAAGTACCCTGAATGCTTCAAATTTGGCTAACCTTTATTACTTCAGCTGTGCCATTGCTGTTTGACTAGTTTGTCGTATTAAGACCATTTAGAATACTTTCTATAAAGATTTTATTTCTCTGTTACCTTCTCTTTAAGTG